TAATATTCTCACTTTAACTTTTAAATTTAATTTTTAAATTTAACTTTTAATTTAAACTTAAGTTTTTTATTTTTATTATAAATTAATAGTAATAATTTAATTAATTATTTTTTATTATTTTTCCATAGTGAATTTTATTTAATATTTTAATTTAATATTGAATAACCATTGCTTGGAAGACTTTAATTTTAATTGAAATACAAACAGTCACTTTTAAATTAACTTAATAATTTCACAATTGGAAGTTCTTCCATTCTATCTCTCGAGCTCATTGTGTAGTACTAATTCCATAGAGTGGTGGATTTTAGGCTCACACTAGTGCTTGAATTTTGACATTTTGGACAACCTTCAATTTGATGGTCTGGCTCCCAAGAATAGAAGCACAATCCATTTTGAACCAATATTTGTCATCTTTGTAGTGTCAATGATTCTTGTAAGACATCAATTTTCATTGGCATTGGTTGTTATGCCATAGTATTAGATAGCGGCATAAGACTTCATACTATAGGTTGTGCTTCATAATTTCTAAAATATACAACATCGACCCTCTTTGCAATCCAAATTGCCTCTTTGAATGTGTATGGATCCCTAAGTTCTACTTCTTATTGAACTCTATATTTCAAACCTCGTAGGGATCAATCCATCATCTCCACCTACGAAATATTATTAATTTGGAGACATAGGGACTTGAATTAGGAGACATAATCTTGCACCGACCTAGCTTGTATAAGATTTATCAATTAATTGCATGCTATCTTCTCCGTATTGATGGGCTGAAATTGATTCCTAAACTTGGTTTCAAACTCCTCCCAGTCACAAAATCTACCTTGATTTCCATAGCTTTGAACTTGATGTCACTACCAAATGGCTGCCGCATCTCTCAAATAAGTGGCTGTATATATAATTCCTTCAGTGATATTTGTCCCAGATAATTGGAAGTATTATTGCATATTGTAGAGCCATTGATATACATTTTCTTATCTTCAAGTCCTAAAGTATGTACTAGGCTTACTCAATTTCAACCTAGTAGATGTCAACTCTCTTTTTCTCAAGGCTTCTATTTGTCCTTACAAAGTAACTATCTGACTTAAGAAGTGTTGTATTTAAGCCTCTATATGGGATTTTTTTGTCATATCTACCATACTATAATTTCTCTGCTAGTTTCTACTATTGTAATGCCTTTTTATTTTTCAATTGATTTTTTAAGAGTAACTCACAATAGCCTCAACACAGTACTTAGAGTGACCACAACAACTTATATTGAACTAGATGATGACTATTTACATGCTACCAAAAGTAAATAATCTAATACTCACTCTAATATCAATAAAATAGGACCAGACTATCTCAAAAATCCAAAATCCTTCTAATCCATAGTAACATAAAGCTTCATTTCAAAATAGGATAAAATAAAATTAAATATAATTAAATAGAATTGAATATAAAAGATAAAATTGAGCAAATAAAAATAGAATAAAATAAATCTAAATAGAAAGATATTGAACCAAACTTTATTAAGAAAAAGAGTCCAAAGAAATATCTGACCAAATGCCCCCAAAAGGCCCTGGCCAGTCATATTTATACTTATCCTACTATCTTGGACTTTTTAGAATGTTCTTAGGTAGTGGGTCCTATTTAGATAACGACTTTAAATTCTTTTTTTAGAAGGTTCTATGATAGATCCTACTTAAATAACCGCCCAAAATTCTTTCTAGAATGTTCTACAATAAATCTTACTTAATCTACTAACCTAATCCTAATTCTAAAAACTTTCATGGTTCTAACTATTTATACAATTATCTTATCTATACCCTATTACAAATAAACTAGTTTATCTATAATTCAATGTGTGTTATTGGTTGGAATTTTCATAAGGTTTTGTTTTATCTTTGCTTGTAGATCCTAAAGCTTGAGTGATATTTTAAAATATTTTTAGTATTTAATATTTATAAGTTAAAAAAATAAAAAAATAAATTATATATATATATATATATATATATATATATATATATATATATATATAACAAAGTATGTGAAATGCATTTCAAAATATAAACATGTTTTAATTAAAAAATTAGCCAATATTTTTTAAAATAATATGTTCAACTTTATAATTATATTAGATTTAACATATATGAAGGTATATGTATTTTGATTCTTGCTATCATGAACAAGCTATTTTAAATTAGGACTTTCTTTTTATAATCTAATTTATCTTATTTTAAAGTTACAACCAAGTTTTATTTTAAATATATTAAAAATAGATAAAATTTATTTATAAAGTTGTCTAAAATCATCCATCCTTGTCAAATTTGATAGATTGTATTAAACTCTTTCAAATGTAGAATACTTTCAAGGGAGAAGTTAATAAGACACTATCAATACTCATCTTTCTCCTACCCAATTATAAAGAAGTCAGATTTGACAATATTTGTATTAAGAAAAATAGAGGCAATTTTGCCACAAAATCTTTAAAATTGTGGATATTGGCCATCACAATGAGTCTATTCAATATAAAATTCTATTTGTAAATTGGAGTAGTTGTTAATTGCATCTTTGAAGGTAATCTCCTCACAATAAGTATGTATCATAGATTAATGGTTTTTCTTAATATCCTCAATTAATTAAACATTCTATCTAGTCAATTCCAATTGCATCATGTGTTGATAGATGGAGATGTATAATCGAGATACTAGTAGCCTATACAAATCATAGTACAAGACTTTCAAAATATCTTTGTCTTTAGTGTCAATATTGCAATTTCATTAAAAAATAATATACATAATGTTATCAATAAAACTAATAAATAATAACTTCTAAAAGGACCATAATCTATGCCTTAGCTACAAGCAACAAAGCCAAAGTGCTCATTATAAAAGTGTTTTGATCTTGAATAAAGGCCTCCGCCCTCATAAGAGCCACACACCAAGATTTGTAGATGATCAAGTTTGGAGCACCACAAACTATTACTAGACTTTCTATACTATGTAGACCTTGTATTTTGTACAGTGAGACCAATGACTTAATCAAGTATTTGAATTTGGTTTTTTATTCATTCAAGATGGTGCTGAGTCTTTGCAACCATATCATGATTGTGGTGATTACTTCCGCATTGTCATTGAAAGCAAGTAGTATCACTTATTAAGAAAGAAGAGAGATACATGTAGGTTGCTTCTATGCAAGATACTTATAGATCATCTTGTGCTTTTGTTGCAAAAAGTCAAATAGTTTTTTTATAGATGTCTATTGCACAATGTTATTACAAAAAACTTGGACGATTTTTTCATCGAAGACCATTAGGCACCCTTGTTGCAAAAACTTAGTTTTTTTATGGATGACTACTATGTCTCTTTGTTGCAAAAACTCACATAGTTTTTTATGGATAATCATTGCATATCCATGAATTTTGGGCATGTATAATTCATCCTCCCAATGAGATTGAACTATTGGTAAAGGTAAGACATGAGACCTATTAAGATGTTGAAAAATTAGTCATTATACAACTTGATGTATTTGGCTTGGACCACAAGGTTAAATTAATATAGAGTATACTATACTTATACAACTCCATCAACAACCACATCAACCATCCTCATCACGATGCCAAAAAGTTGTCCTATCATTGTTTGTCTGCCATCCATGTTAATTCCAACAAGTTGTATTCTCTATTTTGGAGCAACAACATCCAAAAGTTTTGAATCCATAGCAAAGATTACCTAGGTTGTCTTGTAATTGAAAAGAAGAATGGCAAGAAGGTGGAAATTAAGCAGCTTTGATTGATACTCTAATCAAACTTGGAAATGAAGGTACAAAGGGCATTCCTTTGAACCAACATTAAGAGCGAGCAATAACATCCACTAGATGTAAAGAAGTTCCATTATTTTCTATAAGCTTACAACACAAACCACCCTCATAAATAAAGTTGCATGATCTTTACTATACCCACTAAAGCAGTCCGTATGCAATACAATCTTAGTGATATCCACAAGACATATTACCATTCAAAACAAAGCTCTACATGAAATAAAGTCAATTACAAGACGAAATAAATGCAAAGATTTGTTCTCCACCTTCTATGCTTTGCAGCTTAGATCCTACTCTCTACCAAGCTTAATATGGTTGTTATTTGCATCTTTAAATAGCTTGAAAATTGACAATGTCCATTCATATGTTGGTATAGTTTTTTCGCCATCAATATTAAACAACATATTACCAATAATCATTTTGACTATGTTCCAATTGATTGTGAATGTGAGTGCCTTTTTGGTGTCAAAATAATGTGAGAGAGTGTTTTTGAAATTTACTTGGTCAAAGAATTATTTCTTTGAGGCATCAACAAGGGTGTTGTATTCTATCTATGCCTTAGTGTGGTGTGATTTTATATATTCTATGATATTATTAGCACAAAAAGAGATTTTAATTTTTTTCACATTCTCCATTTGTTTTTCTTTACACCTATGAAATCAACCTCTTAGGAACCAAGCTTCTCATAAAACAAGTATCATGTAGAGACAACTTGATCTTTGTTCTAATCATGTGGGTTTGCTGCAAGGCCAAACTTTGTCCCTACAAAGGATTTTCAAGGGATCTACAATTCCTTCACCATTAAAAATTTGATGTGCATTCTCTAATGTGATTGTTGGGACTGCAAATTGCATCATGAGGAGCCTTTCCAACAATGCTAAAGAATATTATTGAACACTAATTTTAGGACGTCTCTCAAACCTTATTCTAGAAAAATTAGAGTTTTATGCCAAAAAGCCCTAATTTATAGTGGTCTAATCATAAGGCATAAAATGCACCTTTAAATATATATGTAAATATATTCTTTAACTAATCCTCAAAAAAGAGATTGGATAAAATAACTAGGTTATGTATATATTTATAACATGTATAAGTATTAAATAAATATTATACAGAAACGTTACCAATTAAAAATGTTGATTGAATTGATAACACCACCAAAATCACAATTTCATGACATTTAATTCACAACTATATAAAAAGAAATACCACAATAGCATACCACAATAGCATACTTCCAAAAATGTATATTTTAGGTTGAAAACTCTCATGTGAAAAAGAGAAATCTATCTACATGTGTATATATATATATATATATATATATATATAGTGTTAAGTAATGCTCCCATTTCCTTCACAATTACGACTCGGATCACATATCCACTATGAATTAACCGAACACGTGTGTAATAGATCAGGAAGAAACGACCGCCGACCGATGTTCACACCTGGATCGGCGATGTCGGCACCGACACCGAGCTCATTGTCTAGACAACGCCGTAGCACCGAAACAGCGTGACGCTTGAGGTGGCCGCCGCACTCCAGCGGCCTCCTTGTTTCTGGTCAATTACTACTCCCAATTACGACTGTTACGATCCAATTATCTGTTCACCGGGTACAGCAACTGGGTCCACCGACAAAGTTGAGGTATCGGTAGGATCCTAGATTGGTACGCGCATCGGGAAGAGAAGAAATTCGTTGAAGTTGCGGAGGGATCATGAATCTATCGAAGTCGCGGTGAGGCGACTGGGCAGCAGCTACGACGCTGAGACGCTGCTCTGTTGGAAGATGTTCGAATTGGACCCAACAAGGGAGCCGAGAAGTTCGAGCTGGTTGAGAATTTTGCCAGCGATCTCTTTGGTCCTGCTCGGCGGCGCTTGCTGGGCGATGGCGATGATATGCATTTGAGCAGATGCTCCTAGCGCGTGCTGGTAATGCGGGATGCCCAAGAACTTCTCGCAAATGCAGATGGAAATTTCCTGCGACCTTGGCGTGCCGTTTGGCAGCTTAGAAATGATGGTCCGCAGCGCATTCGCTTGGTGCAGCACGTTACATCCTCGCTCCGAGTGCCTTTCATCTTCGACCAGGGTGTAGAGGGCTTCCAAGGCCGCTTCCGCAACCTTTTCTTTGTCCTCCGCGACGATGGTCACCAAGGGTGGTATCGCCTCTGCCTCCAGTAAACAATAGGTGCTTTTGACCGAGCACAGGCTTCCATGTAGGTTGCAGGTGATCGGTGTTGGTGCAAAGCATTGCCAACATTTGTTTGGTGCCACTGGCCTTATTAAACGAGAGGAGCTTCTAGAGAAATTGGCTAGCGCCTGGGCAGCGTGTATCTTCGTCCGTGGTCGTCGTGAGTCGAGGAATGCAACCAATGCTGGAATCACGCCCATGTCTGCTAGTTGTTTCTGAAGATCTAAAGTTTCAGGAGTGGTGAATCGGACGAGAGCACCCAGACACGCCTCTTGAAGAGACTGATTTTTCGAAGACAAGTGGTGTACCAAGTGCGGAACAATGTTAAATTGCTGCGCTAATGTGATGGTCAGATTTTGGTCTTCTGCTGGAAGATGGGAGATTATCCTCGCAGCATCCAACTCCTCATTCTCGGTGATCTCCTCTGCGCTCAACATGTCGACGAGAAACTTCAAAGTACCACATTGTATACTTATCGCTAACCATGCCTCCGCTCCATGCTTCCTCGACAAGGAAGAGACTAGCCTCAGCGAGTCTCGCCTTGTTTCAAGCCTTGAATCTTTAAAATGAGGAGTAAGAACAGAAAAGACGTTTCTTCTCAACAACATTTCCCTGGTAACCTCGCCCGTGTCTCTGCCCTTAACGAGACTAAAAAGACCTTGCAGCAAATGCGACTGCACCAATGCATTCGTTGTAGGCCTGGCGCTGCTCGATATTAGCATTATAAAAGTATCAAGGTAGTTGTCGATGTCCGCATCCCTGTCTTCGCTTTGTGGCCACTCGTCGCCAACTGCCGCTAGTACATTAGCAACAACGCGGGATGCAGTAATCTTCGTTTCTACCGATGCTTGGGAGGTAAGCAACTTGACCAGAACCTGCGACAACAAGGTCACCACAAAATTATTAAAGTTTCCAGATCCAATCGATTTCTAGCACTCTCTCAAATTCAACTTGATGCCAATTCATTGAGGGGTTTGATCCAACTATAGCATTAGTTCGCTCGAAATTATACTGTATTTAAATGAACACTTCACTCTAGACTCACGCTACATGGTTCTCAGACCTCCAATCTGTGAAAATTACCTCCAGTCCTGAGCAAGCAGATATCACAGTGCCAACTCTTGGAGCTTTAGAAAGGTTCTCCAGCGCGCCAATGGCGGCGTTGACTTCATCTGCATCCCTCGATTTCGTCATGTTCGTCAATGCTGTGATAGTGTCTTGAGAGCTTGCCAAAATCTTGCTACTCTCAGGCATGTGCTTCAAACGGGCTAGGGTCTTAGCCATCAAAATCTTTGACTCTTTTTCTCCTATGTAAAGAGACAGACGATCATGAACGATCAACTGGAGACCAACCAACTTATTTGCAAGGACGTAAACACTGAAAAGCCTGCAAATTCTGAGAATTAAATTGCAATTTAATCTTTCGGAGTAATTGTATGAGAAAGTGAAAGGTGGCCAAAGCGAGTGAGAAGTGTTGTAATACCTTCCACGAGACGTGTGGCTAAGGGAATCAAAAGATTTGCTTCCGCCATGTGAACAACGATTTTATCTGTGGTCGGTAGGTTCACCAACACCGATTTCACGGAGATCACCAGCTCCTCCTTTTCATGCCCCAAAAAAGTTACCAGTAGCAGAACAGCATCAGGCATTCGGCAGATCATTTCTGCCGTTTTGGGAGTAGAAGATAAAATTTTCAACAATTTAATAGCTGGTTCCGCTTCGTCGTAGTTCCTTAGGCTGCGTACCAATACGTTCATCACCCCTTCACATACAAGAGTATCCTGCAATTAATAAGAGCGACACCAATCAGAAGCTAGGCGCACCGCACAACAGATTCTCATTTGCTTTCACAAAATAAATTCTGCGGCAGGGTTCGTTGCGGGGATCAGGCATATTAGCAAGATCGGCACCTGATTTTCTTGATGACCGTGGGCAAGAGCAGCCAGAGCATTGAAGCAGTGCTCTCGCAGTGTGGAAGAAGTATCAGGATGATTAGCTAATTGAATCAACAGAGGAATCATCTTTCTGGACGAAGCTTCATTTTTATTAACTGGATCTTCCTCACACACTGCTATTATATCTCGCGCACCGCGCAATTGTTGATTGGGCTGTGACGACCTCAGCCGCGACTCGGCAATGTGAAGCCGAACAACGTAGTTTCTCTCCCTCCATTCTGAAATAGATTGTCTCAAAGCGTGATTTGGCTTCACCTTGGTGTTTTTTAGCTTAACCCCTAACGGACAAGTGGTTTCCCCCCCCTCAAACCACTGCTCAATCGCGCTTCGCTCGTACGTCTGGCCAGAAGAAACCTGCACGGGATCCTTCATGACCTGCCTCGTGATCGGACAAATGAAGGAAGAGAGCGGCGGTGTGGGCGCAAACACCTCTTTTATGTGCCCCTCGCTTGACGGTGGCATCGTTGGATCTGAAAGAATGTCATCGTCACATGCTGCTGGTTCCTCCTGAAATGCCAAACCCTTCTCCAACACCTTGACACAATTGTGCAAGTATTTTGGAAAAATGGTATCATCAAAAATCTCCGCCTTCCCTATATTCTTTTTCACTTCTGCGAGTTGATCAGCGAATGCTACCTGACTGAGATCAAGACTCATATATTCTGCAACTTGCTCAGCGAGCTCTTTGCACTTTTGGGGCGTCGACCCCTCAATGATCATGTCCAATGAGTCGAGAGCAGCTTGTTCTTTAGGCCCTAGCTTAGGAGGACCTTCCTTCAGATGTTGTTGCGTTTGACATACCTGCTGTTTCACTACTCCGCTGCAAACGACAGCCTGGATAATACTTTCGAAATCTCTGCTCAAGTTCTCTCTATATGAATGTAACTTTGTGAGAAGAAAAGGATAACTCAGGAGTAAGGAGAGTTGGGACTGGGTTTTCAGTGCCATCACTAGTCGCTCCACAGATGTCATTTCTGTCTCAATTTTGAGGTGCTGGAACCTGATGGGGCTCAAAGGAGATTGATTCTACATTTAACCACGGCAACATCGAATTAACCTGATATTCTGAAACTTCGAAGAAACATGATACCGGCACCTTGAAGCGAGGAGAAGTTTACTAAGATGACTAAGAACTGCACAAAAACTGTACCTCATGACATTCATTGATAATTCCAAATACCCACAAACGTGATAGTTCCTATGACATCGAAGCACGCCTTCATAGAACACAGAACAGAGAACATGGACAAATTGAGCTTACCTCCAACTCTTTCTGCAATTTCTTCAAAGTACTTGCAAGATTCTCAAGAGAAATGGCAAAATCAGCCAGAATGGTATGTATTGGATGCTCTTTGACATCCATGACACCTTGTGCTGCCACCGCCAACATCGAAACTCTGTGACTGAGCTGACCAAGCCAATGGGCAGCCATTGCTACAACTTTCTCAAATCGCCTCGGATTGCTGACCTCACAAAATACCTCCCGCATGCAGATCGCTTGCTTTCTGCACACTGTAGTTGTAACAGACACCGAACCCTGCGTCTGCGCAGTGTGTTGGTATATGACAGACTAAGCCGATTTGGGAGGCATTCGTTTCCAGATGTGTTTCCAAGTGTGTGTCGCACCAGATTTATAACATTATTCTAAGAAATCACGCTGCGCAGGTCACTGGTTGCGGTTTCCAGCATCTCGTCACTAGAATAACCCTACGCTACACTTGGAAAGTGTCGCCGCTGTAATGGCAAAGCACCGGCGATGAAACGCGTACAGCCAACGGCTCAAACGCGAGGCATTCTTTCAACATTTCGAAGTAGGTAAAAGTTTGCATGGAGGTCATCAAGCAAGGCCTGCTACAAAGATGGTGCATCCCCAAGTGTTAACAGATGACGAGGCAGTCGGGGAGCTAGTTCACAGAAGAACGAAGTACCGACAAGCGTTTAATCGATCAAGGGAGGGAGTAGAAAAGATTTAAACAATCGCTCATTTCCTTTCCGAGTCGCGCGCTTAGTATTCTGCATTTTACGTGTACTAACAGGTTTCATAAGGTGAGCGAACTCACAGTCCAGTTTGAACAGCTTGATCTGCGATGCAAAGTACTTCCAAGGTCCCAACACCTCCCTTCATCTTACAAGACAGGTGTGTTAGCTGCACAATTAAGCCAGACGTTTGAACCGTACTAACATCGCTAGGTGGCTTGATCTATCCCTCACAAGGACGTCAATGCCGTACGACCTCCCACCATAGTCGACAGAAATTCTTCACTCACTCTTGATCAACGACACTCACAGTTTGATAACAAACAACTGGCAGTGCTCAAATTAAAGAAGAATTCTGCGCGTATCTTGCAACCTTTTAGCACATTGGAGTAACCCCCTCAAACCGACAATCCTCTAGATGGACACGTCTCTCAGTGAGCTCGCTTCGTAACTTGGATATCAAGCCAAACAGACGTCTGTACCACACCGGTGCGTACCACACTGGGGCTGTAATTACTCTCGCTTACGAAGAGACAAACAGCTGCTGCATTGTCTGCAGATTTCCGGCGATTTGCTGGAGCCCCCTTACCTACCGAAACATTAACATCTACGATTTCCATTGTGTAAAAAAAACAATGTTTCCATCTGCGATTCAAATACCACCAGACAATGTTTCATGAAGAAGACGACTGAGGTCAAACAGTGGCCTGCTGGGTGTGGTCACTGGCTATTACGGGACAAAAACCAGCTGGCCGGCAAATGATTTATCGTGGCCCATCCTAACTTACTTTAGGGAAGACCTGTGGCGCGTGTAGGGCCCAGCACTAGCTACAACGAATGTATGTTCGCCGACTAATCGTCATTTGGCCAAGCTTACGAACCCTCACCTTTCCGACACACACCCTTTCGCAGAAGTCGCAAAAGAGACGAAGGGCCCAGCATGCACAGCGACCTATGGAGAGATCATCTTTGGATGACAACTCCGCGACGACGGTCTGCACAATGTTGCTCTCTCCACAGAACAAGATGCTAAAGTAAACGCCTCCAGATCAGCTCCTCGCCGGATGGCTACGGTGGCGCCGGGGTCTGCACGCAGTTAACAACTGTTACAAAAACCTGGAGCAGACACCTGTAGTGCCGAGAAGTGACAAGAGAGGTCTGCGGAAGAGCAACGAAGACCTGCTGTAGCACTAGCCCAACCACCGAAGCGATATGTGGTGGGAGGGCACGAATCCTGTCGCAAACCGCCGTTCATGGCACGCACTCTGCCATCCCACATGGAATACCGACAATCTGCATCTACCCAACGCATTGATTTCCTAGTCGCTAAAGAATTAGCCGGATCCTGTAGCTGCAACCAAAACACGCACACCGTGTACAAACGCGCTCGCAGGGAGATAGATCCCCACCAATATTGCACATCATACACTCAGTCTGAAACCACCAAAAGCCATGTCATGCTCCATCACACGGCCCGGCCACAGACAAAATGGCTTCCTGATTGTGCTCATCCCACAGCATCTGTACCTTCGCCGCAATTGTTGTGGAAGCGGAGAATGATTCTCCTCTTCATCACACGTACCTCTCGTCTTGTAAATTTGCCAAATTGCGGCACCAGGTCTTTCAAGGCCATATCATCCACAGGACTACTATCATCTCCAACCTAAAAATAAATAAACGAAAGAAGAAGAAGAAGAAGAAGTGATTGTGTTTAACCAGTGATGCAGCCCTGAGGGAGCAACAAGCGACTGCTGAGCATGATGCAATCAAATTTCAGCGTCTGTTGATCGTCAATGTTCCAAAGAATTTTGAAGGCAGTCTTCAATTGACCTCTTCGTTGCGTGTTGAGAAACCAATCGCGGGTTGTTTAAATCTTGGTTATTGTTTCATTCGTTTGGAATTTATTCCTGAGTTAGATTACCCACCTTTGCTTCCGTATTGTTTGAGATAACGGCAATCTGACCCACCTTGCAAGATGATCGTTTTCCATACTTCCCATGCAGTAGGGTAAACAACGGATGTGACATTTTAATGAGAAACTTGAAATGGAGTCATTTTAGTGAGAAACTCGTTACGATGTCATAAACCTGAAATAGAGTTTAGGTCTTCCTGCAAATATGAATTTGGACCTGCAACGTTAACATACGACACGTTAGATCTTTACCCCAAGTCAGCTTTTCCCCGAACTTGATGGATTGCATTAATCACAGAAACGGAGGCATAACGAAAGCGCCAGGATATCACGACATGATCGAGCGTTTGAAGCGGTAATTCACTGTGGGGACATGTTTTTATCATGCTAACTGTCAATACCAAATTTAATCACCTTTTACCGAAGCCTGATAAGGTCACGGAGCTTTGCAACAAATGGGCAGAGCTTTAGAAGAGAAAAATTTCACTCAGGACATGAAGAATGGAGTCACCCGGACCGCTTGAAAGCAGGGGCATCAAAAACCTCGACAGTCCGAGCCGCATTCCTTGTCTGATACTGGTGTGTGGACCTCGAGACGCATGAGCTCGAGACTTGTGTGCGTGGAGATGATGACCTGCGTGTCATTATCTCCAACTAGCTATCCAGATTTAGACCAAACTTTTGCCCGCAACTGAGGTAGGTGATACGCATCTGTCGCACAGAGCGAAATGATCATTGCGAAGTTTCTCTGTCCCCCTCGGCGCTTGTTTTCAACTCTCTGTCTAGTACAGTAGAAACTACCACCAGTCGATTCAAGTCGTCAGCCCCAGCTGAGGAATATATCCAATTACGTCGAATGAGAAGTTGGATCCATAGGAAGAGTACGAGAATTAAGCGAGTTAACACTTTTTTTACACGGAAACAGCAACGGAGAAGGAATTTCAGAAGAGACAATCCAAATCATTTTTCATTTTTAATATAAACTGAAAATTTTGATATATTCACATGTAGAAAGAGGAAAACTAAGTTACCGTTGTTAGTTTTATCTCGGAAATTGCTTTCAATACCTAGTTGAGACTTAATTTTCACTTTCATTATTGTTCGAATTTTGAATTTGGGCATTCGCCCGGATGGATCTGTAACTGGACTTGGTTTCGCTGGACGTTCTCGTGAAGGGTTTAAGTAAGACGAGTGACAGTTACATCTAGGGTTTGGGGCAGTGGCTGCTGGCTCTGGAAACTGGAATCTCGAAGACAGTTAGTTGTCTTTCTGCAGCGGAATCGACTAGGATCTTCTTTGTCCTTAAGATCTATAGGTGCTGGGTGTGGTCCGCGGATTAGTGCTGTCTGTCTGGAATTGTTCACGTGCATTACTTATAGTTTAGAAATCGAGGAAGAAGCCTTCTGTGTCGTTAGTGGGTTCCAGACAGCAGCATCGTATTCCTTCTGCCACTTCCATAGCGGATAGTGTAGTTGGATTTATGAGGGCGTGTGTTTTGAAGAGCCCATCAGGTGGATTTTCTTGGTCCTTACCGAGAAGGGATTTGAAGCGGTTAGAACAGGGTCAAGGCAGAGTCGCCTTGCTGAGTGGGCGGAGCGCTGCATCGCAGCGTGCATTGAGCGTGAGCTGTAGCTTTTATTTCGACATGGAGGAAAGCGGGTTAGACACTGAGGGTAAGGTTTATGCCAACCGGAAGCAGATGTGGGAGGAGGAGGCTGGAGAAGATGCAGCTGGAAACCCTAAAAATGCACACAAGAAACAGGAATGGTATCACAAAGGTGTGAGCTACTGGGAGGTACGGTTTGAGTCATTTCCAGATTACTCTTTTCTCATGCGTGCCTTCAATGCTTAGGGTTAATTCTCAGCGCACGAGGCTGCGCTGTGGCGAGGAATGTTTCATCATGTCCAAATTGTCAGAAGCGAGCCATTGGTAAACCACTAAGCTGTCAGATTAGAGACCTAAACTGTGTCAAATAGCCATGAAGTCACGTTACGCAGGATTTCGTTAGTAGAAATTGTGTCAACTGCCTTACACTTCGAACGCAACACCCTTGTGTTAGCCATGTCTCAGTAATCGTACGAAGTACAGTCATTGTGTAACGATTTGGCTTATGAATAGGGTGTGGAGGCCTCGGTGGATGGAGTATTGGGTGGTTACGGGAATGTCAACGACCGCGACGTTATGGACAGCAAAGCCTTTCTTGCTGAGATCTTCAAGGAATGTCCACCGAGCAGCAGCTCTAATTTAGTAGCGTTAGGTAATTGTTATACTCGCATGTACTTTATTAGTGGTGCCCTTTGACTGCAGGCGAAGTACAAACGTGTCATGGAATGAGGCACTGAAAATTAATTTCATTATTGTTTCCGTTATTGCTTGTATGCTTGTCCTCATTGAAGAATGCTGGTACACTCTATACACGCTTATCTTCGGCAAAGTGGGATTTTCTTTGGTAATAGATTGTGGTGCTGGTGCGGGAGGGTTACGAAGAACTTCCTTATTCATCATTTCCAAGAGGTACGCGGTCGGCCTCTGGGAACCTGCGGGAATAGAATTGAGTAAAATGCAACTGTTTCTGGGTTCGTGTCGAAATTCCCGGGAGTTTGTGAGAATCAGAGTGTTAAGTGCACGGTGGTGCTAAGTTCCACAGATACCTGAACTTGAATTGTTATTTGTAACCTATTAGTGCAGTTTCAGATGTTGGTCTCATGAGATCTGCATGGGAGTTGTGAATGGATGACAAAATTGAAGGAATTGTGACTTGACCCCGTTGCAGTGATAACCCCAGGTGGACCTTGTTGAGCCTGTCCGCCATTTTCTGGAAAAGGCTCGAGCGGACCTTGGCGGAAGGACAGAGGGAAACAGAGCTGTAAAGTTCTTCTGCGTCCCCTTGCAGGTCCTCGGTTTGTTTTGGACTTGATATTCTGAGCAGTTATACTAAGATCGTTGTTAGCAATAGACCTAGCACTGTTATCAAATGATTCACAAGGATTAGGACTTACCCATCAGGCTCGTATTCCTTATGTATCCTAATGCAGGAATTCACCCCTGAAGCAGGGCGCTACGATGTCATTTGGGTGCAATGGTGCATTGGTCATTTGACGGATCATGATTTCGTTGAGTTTTTTAAACGTGCCCAAGTGAGGATACTACTTACACATCTTTCATTTAGTACCTGTTGTGGGTTGAAAGAATTCCAGAAAATTGAATCTGCAGTAGATTTCAGTTTTCTGGATTGCCCTTTTGTTTTTTTTCTTTTTTCGAAGAAGTTGAGTGAAGCACATTGTAAGTGTTGCACATAGACACCATGAACTTCTAAGTCTAAGGGTGAACGTAAATACTTCCTGCTTGTCAACTTACTTATTTTCTTTGGTTGCGTCGCAGGCTGGACTAAAGCCAGGAGGGTTTTTTGTACTAAAAGAGAACATCGCAAAGAATGGTATGATTGAAATCGCTTATTTTGGAATTTGTTTGTTCTCGTCGTTATCCGTGAGTGAACTATATTCTTTTTCCTCACATGTCAGCATTTTATGCATGCCTCATGTGTCGTGTTACATGTACAGGGTTCGTTGTAGATAAGGAAGATACTAGCGTCACACGATCGGATGCTTACTTCCGAGACCTGCTCAAGCAAACTGGGTTGTACCTCTACAAAACGAAAGTACGAACTTAAGTTTCTTTCTGTTCAAAATTTGCATGTTGGAATTGGTTGTCTATACACTAATCCTAGCAGCGTTTCTATGCCGTGGAGACCCTACCACATCAAGGCAACAGCGTTGAGTGTTTGCGTCATCTGACACAGTGAATGATTGTGTCCTTGCAGTTACAGAAGGGATTCCCTAAAGATTTGTTCGCAGTCCGCATGTATGCAGTGACACCAGAACCTAGAATTCCCACTCCAGCAGCTGCGGAAAGCAAAGCTTTACCAGTGAGACCCAAGCGTCGAATCAATCAGCCTCGTAAGATACTGTAGGGCTATCCATGTCCAAATTGACATGTCCAAATTGTACCCAAACGTATCGTTACTTTGGTTGTAGTATGTGAGCTCATCAAATTTGAAAAGCTCAAAATGCATATAGGCTCAGCTTGGCACGTAGAGCTTTCTGTCTGAAGAAAGTACGAGGGCGATTCCTGTCAGCCTGGATGCTCGGCAAGCATCATAACCATTGCGTAGCCAAATATTTTTGCGACTGTCTCTTGACCGGTGCATCCCTTCAATTACTCCCTGCTCTTTGTATCAGTTACAGCTTGCCTCCATATTGGGTCTTGTTCAATCCACCGCCATGTGGACGCTGATCATAAGCAGCATGACGTTTGTCTTCCTGTATCATCTTCTGGCGATGTTTTTAAGTTGTCAGAGCCTCAGTTTGCCGAAGCACCTCTTGAGCTGAACTCGGGGTAGTCGTGCCGAAATCCGTCAAGCTTATGAAACCACTATGGATGAACTTTTCTCACGAAGGAAAACCCACTTCTCACCCAGATCATAAAATTAATGAAACTAGAGAAAATTGTACGAAGGTGAGAGTTTTCTATAAACTGTATCTGAATACTATTCAATGGACAAGTATTTTTGACCCAATAGCTTTAGAAGAAATCTACAATACATTCTATTTGTTTTATCATTTGTTCAGTTACTTTCTTGGTACCATCTTCATCTAAATTTTGTGAAAAATTCAACACTTTGGCACGAGGTGTTTTCACTTCACGATGTGAAATTTAAAAAGACTTCTGATGTTTTGTATCTTGGTGAAACGTCATTCTGGAGATATTTCCTATTTGAGAAAATGCGCATGTAAAAACTCATCTACGAAAATCAAACAACATAGTATGGTAGAATTAGACAAACATACAAACAAACAAATATTGACTCAAGTTTATACCCTGCGTGATTTACTGTGCGTGAATTTTTAGTGCAATTTGGAGGGAAACCCTGTCTAAATTTGCATGTGCATTGAATTAGTGTCTGCTAAACAATACGTAATTATTCTCAGAATACAAGAAAAAAATAAAAGTAAAAATTAAAAAATCTGTGGAATATATCTACTTTATCTACTAATAAATAACTGGTGACTATCCTTGAAATTAGCTGACTGGCTAGATTTTCCAGTCTGTTCTTGAAGTTTGTTGATTGGATGAATTTCAGGATTTTCCAGTCTGTTCTTGAAGTTTGTTGATTGGATGAATTTCAGGATTTTCCAGTCTGTTCTTGAAGTTTGTTGATTGGATGAATTTCAGGAAAAAGAAATTAATTCTTGGTTAACGAAGATTAAAGAATCGAATAGAATTTATCAAAATTTATTAATGAAATTCTTGAAAGGAAATGTGTTCTGAAATGCAAAATTAATTTTGACTGTGCACAGCAGGTTTGCAGTTTCTCAAAATTTAATCTGAATTCTAATTTACCAGGAAGTGAAAATCAAAATTCTTAATTAAAACATTAACAGTTTTGCAAAAACTGTCATTTATTAAAACTTATTGTATTGATGTTTTCCCATTAGTATATTAAAAACTTGATGACCAATTATCATAATTGAATTACCCACATAAAACACCAAGTTTTATTTATTAATATTGTATATGTTAACTAATGTTTAATAATTTAAAAAAATGCTAATTTATAAAAACATTTACGACTAAAGGACCATTTTGCTTGCTAAACGGTTTTCCTTCTTGTGTGTAAATATATGCATGTGTAAACAATTTATGATCAAGGAACCAAAAAGTATTAAGTACTAAAATATTTAAAATTTCATAAAAATATATTAATGTTCTTAAAATGCTAATATTTTGCTAAGGTTGTTTTATCACACATTGGTAGATTCTTTTAGCAACAAAACAACTCAAATCAACTAAAAATTCTATTGATTATTTAATTCACTAAAAAATCATGATCTATTTTTTCATGATTTGTTTACTTATTAACTGTTATGTATGGTTTTTTTAATAAGTAAAATATAAATAGAAAAGGTAAATTTAGATGTTGGTCTAAAGAACCAAGCAAATTTTCACAAAGAGGATTATGTTAAAATACTAGACTAACTAAGATAATTGCTTCCAAAACTTATCAAGGCTTTATTTTGAAGATTTTTGGACCTATAAGATTCACATTGCATAAGAACCTTCTAAATCTTTCTCAAATAATTATTATATATTTTTTATTATTTTATAAAATATTAAAATATAATTTTTATTATATAACCAATCAAAATTTATTGATACTTTTTACCTTCAAAATTTCTAAGACACTGTTTTGTTTACCTCAGTGTTTACATTACTAGGGCTCAAACCTTTGATTCGATAAATAAATTGTCTTTAAGATTAATTGAAATTATTTTATTTTTATTTTAAATTTATTATAAAAAAACTTATAGTATTTATAAATCATGTGTTTTTGGTATCATTAAAAAGATGAAAGGATTATCTTTTATAAATTATAAATATATATATTTTTTATAAATTCTAATTTTAATAAATAGAATGTATCTTTTTTTTGTAGTTATTCTTTTTTTAATCTTTTTTTTGTTTGTTTCTCTATTTTTTTCCATTATTGATTATGATTCTTATTTTGACTTTAAAATTTTTAAACTCCAAATTTGGGCCATATTGTAATATAGATGGAAGAACTAATTTTATCCTCGTATAAATATAATTATATTTTAATATATTATTGATGAATTTTATTCCTTTGTTTTTTATAAACTTAGATTATTGTTAGTTATTGAACTATGTAGGAATTCTTTATGTAACCTTATATGGAATTATACACATTGATTGTAATAGAATACTTTAGCAAGTTGATCAAATTTATGGATTTATTACATAATTCTTATAGGTTTATTTCTTTATTAATATAGATTATATGCTTGTGCAATTTAAATCATGAATTAAGACATTGGTAGATAACATTTAAGTTTTGTTTTAGTTTGTTTTGTTTTATTTCTTTTAAATAATTTGTACTTTAAGACTTGGATTGATCATTGTACTATTCATTTTGTTTTTTAAAAAAGGTGTTCATCTTGATTATCTTGAGTAAATCCATCAAGATATTATAAAATATTTAATTTAAAATAAAATCTAATTTATTATAAAAATATGAAGTTATTTTTATCTTATTTCATCAAATTTATTTGGCATACTAATCTATGCTTATTTGTATTTATAATATTAATATTTTTTGGATTTATTTATGAAGTTTGTTTACTTGTTTTTTTTCAACTATATGACTTCTTAGTATAGATATTAGAATTCATTGTTGATTTCTTCCATAAGTTTAGAAAAATTACTCCTTTGATTGACATTAATAATAAATAATTTTTTTGTCTTAAGAGTATTGATAATCTTATTAAGATCTATAATAGTTGCAAAAATATTTTCATTTCTATTAAGTGTAGCATCTACAATTTGTTTTCTTTCTATTTCTATAATAAAAAACTTTTACAAGTCAAATTAAAAGATAATAATTTGAATCTAATGTCAAATAAAAATTTCTACAAAAAATTATAGTTTTCTTTTTTTAAAAAAAGAATTAATGTTGCAATATAAAAAATATTAGATTTAAGATAAATAATCTACAACCTTCAAAATAAAATAATAAAAAATTAAATAATTCACTCACTAAATTAAAATAAAATAAATATAAAAAATTATGATTCTTGTTAAAATATCAAAGGTATGAATTATAAAAAAAAAAAAAAAAAAAAAAAAAAAAAAAAAAAAAAACCATAACATAACAATACATTCTTATATTATCAAAAGAAAAAAAATAGTCAATTAAAAGATAGATATAGAATTGAAACTAAAATGACTATTGTCAAGTATAAAAAAATTAAGAAGTCTTGAACCAAGATAATGTATAAGAAAAACATAGACAAGAGTGAAAAAGGCCTCACTATTGCCTTCATATATTATCTATTAAAGAACTATATGACAATATCCTATTGACTATATAAAAAGTATCCAATTTACAAGACACATGTCTAATATTTAGGACTAATTTTTGACATGTGTGTTATATAGCCAACTTATAATACAATTAACTAAACATGCAATATGTATCCAACTTATTGACCAAGTTGTCAACCTGCCAATTTTTTATAAATACATGTAAAGTCTACAAAGATTTGAGAAGCTTTCCATAAGATATCAATAATTTAATCTACTTCTATTTTTTTCTATTTAGTTCTTTTTAGCTAAGGAAATGTATTAATAAATATAATTATTTATTAAAATTAGTGTTGCTATGATCCTTTGGTTTTTTTAATTAATTGATTGTGATATGTTGGTACTAAAGTAGAATAACAATTTTTTTGTTGTAAATTGAATTTAACAACATTCTTGCTACTTGCAAGTTCATCTACTTTTTGTCATCAAAGTGACATCTTTGCAAATGTAATTAGTTAAATTTGAGCATCATATAAATATATATATATATAATCATTTAATTTTAATATTTGGTATTAAAAATATTTAATCATTTCATATTATTACTATTATAATTATATAATATTTTAGAGATGAGCAAAAAAATTATTAAAAATTTAAAAATCTTACTTAATTGTATTTACTTCTAATATATCATTGTCTTATTCTTGCAGACTAAACCATCTTATAAAATAAACAACTTCAACCCTTGTATATCCCTCTCTTTTATGTGTCTCTTCCTACAAACCTCCTCTCCTTCCTTCTTTTAAAGCCTTGTCATGTATCAACCTCTCTCTCATTACAAACTCTTTTAGAGTCTTCCTTCCAAAGTCTCATCAACACATGGTCTATTTATGAAACAAAAGACTTCAATTTCCTTACTTTCTTCCACAATGCCTTGTCATATACTTTCCTCCCTTCTCTCCCAAGCTTTTCTATGGTCCTCCCTTTTAAGCTTCACCATACATGTCTTACTTGCTCACAAGTCTTATTCTATTTCCTTTCTTGTGAGCATCTTCTAGTGGCCTTCTCTTATTGGCTTTTAAACTAGGATTCTACTATATTCCACTTTATAATTAAAAACTAATAATTTAAAAAAATTAATAATTCATGAAATTATCAATTTAAATTAAGTTAAATTAAAATTAAAATTAAAATTAATAAAAATTGGTTTTTTAATTTAAAAACCAAAAATATAATTTAGCTTCTAAATTTGATGTATTTGTCAATACTTTGATCAAAAAGTGCTCTAAAAATATTTTATTAGTGTGTAACAATTTATTTGTGGTGTTTAAAGATATAAAATCAAATTTAGGTTTCAAACTTGTAATGTCAAAAATACAATTGGTATCTATTTGTATGTGGAATGAATCTAATTCCATTCTTCATCAAGATTATTTTAGTTGGATGCAATTTCGGAATTGCTTATAACTTGATGCACTCAACTCCTTTCAAAATTCATGTCATGCAATAATTTTGCGGATGTAATAAGTGCTACAGAGACCACCACCCTTAACAACAATGTGCTACTATGGCAATGTAGTAGATGTCTTTGTCACATGTTCATTTGTCTCAAGGTTGAAGACTACCAATTGGTTTCATTCTTGTCCTCAATATGATCATATTTAAGCATACAAAGTCTTGTATGGCCAATCTTGTCCTCAATTGTTTGCTTTGTCTTGCAATTGGTAAAAGATTTGTGTCTTTTTCTCTTACATGCATGCTCACATGCCATGACAATGCTCTCATTGATGCAACTAGTACCATTGTTAGAATTGTTGATAAAGATTTCTTTATCTTTTTTGCTTCTCCAAAAAATAATCAATTGTCTAAACTTATTCAACTTAAAAAGTGGTCTATTGAAGATGGTGAACAAAAACATCCTTAAGATTGTGTCAATTTATTGCTTGAGATTAAAAAAATTTTGCTTACACAGTTTGGATAAAAAATATTTTGATTCATATGCATTTATAAATAAGAATTTTACACAGAGGCTTGAATATCAAAGGAATATGCTTTGTTGAGTCATTAGTCAATTGCTGAAATTGGTTCTATATTAGATGTATGTATAGGAGGTTTATTTATTTATTTTAAGTATAATTATTATTTTTTTATAAATTAGACAACCTCACATTGTCTACTAACTTTGATATAAAGTGGTATTCAAATTTGAGATCATTGCAACATGAATTGAGCAATTTTATAACTTTAGCTAATAAGAATATTAGCTATTGCTCAAGATTGATATTATTGCTAAATAAAATAGACATGTTTATATTATTAACTAATTTTTATATAAGTAATTATAAAAAATTGATATGATTGCCAAATAAATAGAACAACTTTACTTCATTAACTACTTTTGATCCAAAGTGGTGCTTAAGCTTGATATCATTGCCAAAAGAATTAAGAAACCTTATATCTTTAATTACCTTTTATATAAGAAATTATAGGAGTATAATGTTATATTTAATAAAATTTAATAAACTCAAATCTTGTATTATTTCAAGTTAATTATTTTTACAAAATAAAATTAAAACTTACATCATCGATTCTTTCTATTATATATAAGTGGTAAAGCTTATCATTATCGTCAAATAATTTGAACAACCTCACAACATTGAATTTTTTTAATATCAATAATTTGATTTAATTTGACATTATTATCTAATCAGGTCGTAATTTTTGCTACAACATGTATGAATTGATACAAAAGCTTAATCTCATTACAAAAAGTATTAGACAACTTCATATCTTTTATTTCTTTTTATTTAATTAAGTGCTCAATCTTGATATTATTTATAAATAAATTATGCATTATAACATTTTTTTTCCATTTTTATTATAAATAAGTAATAGAGTTTAATATCATTGCTAAATAAATATGACAATATTATATCTTTGATTGATTTTAATATGCTAAGATATTGAAAATTAATAATATATTCAAATAAATTAGAATAAATTATATCTTTGATGATAGTTTACTTAAATATTGTTACTAGATATATTAGACAAAGTCACATCTTTGATTGCTTTTTAAATGTAGAAATGTTCAAGCTTAAGAACATTGCTACATAAATTGAGTAATCTTATATTTATGATTTCTCTTTAGTTTTAAAAGGTGTGTTGTCAAGAACATGAATGACAAACAATAAAAACCTCAATAGACTCTTGTGTCATTCAAAAAGAATAGATATTTATTTAATATTTAATAAATTATTGATTTGAATTTAGAAAAAAAATGAAAATTTATTTTAAATTTACAAATTTTAATGGCTTGGTATTTTTTTTTAGTTTCTCGCTACTAATTTATTATCATTATATTGGTAATAAACCTTTATTGATAATACATTAAAGTTTCATAGAAGTAATTCATTTATTGTTTTAATGTGACAAGAATTCATATATATAAATTTATGTTGATTGTATAATATGATAAATTAAAAAAAAGAGATTAGAATAATGAAAAAACCCACATATATCCATGCATATGAATAATAGATTTTACTAAAAACAACACTTTGAAACAAAACTTTTATTGACTAGTACATAGTAAATGAACTAAGAGTAACTTTCAATGTTAGAAAACAACAAATTAATAGAGTGTTTCAGGACAAGCCTTGTTGCTAATAACTATGAACAATTACAGAATTTTATTTCAAAACAAGTTATAATAACCAAACTCTTGTATACAAACATGCAGATGCCCATACCACACAAAGTCTTTCCATGAAACAATAGAATAAAATTTGTATTAAATATGACAATGCATGATATTCATGTTCTGTACTATGAACTAGTTGTGAAAACCCCAATAATAGGGCAAACAGGGATATTAGTCATTTATGTTGATTAGACACACTCATGTGTAACCCCAATTGAAAAATGGAAATGGATGAATGACGACGATACATGCACGAAGATGCGATGATGGATAATGGACAGAGATGAGAAACTTCGAATTTCCCGCCTCCCGCTTCCCGCCACCTTTTTTAAAATTCGGAGAGTGGCGCCATCTGCATTTCCCCGCGAACCCTAATGCCTCCTCCATTCCCAACAGATATACTGCTCCTTCGAGCACTCTTGATCTCATTCTGGCTTAACATCTTGTGTCGCAGCTTAGATTTGTAAGAGTTGTATTGCGCGCCTGTCGTTTCTCTTGAGTCGGGACTTGTTTGTCCTTGTCGAGGTTGTTCGACGTTTTGTTCTTTGTAGTTATGGCGCGCACCAAGCAAACAGCTCGCAAGTCGACGGGAGGCAAGGCTCCCCGGAAGCAGTTGGCAACGAAGGCTGCTCGTAAGTCGGCTCCTGCCACGGGCGGTGTGAAGAAGCCCCACCGCTACAGGCCCGGGACTGTAGCTCTTCGTGAGATCAGGAAGTACCAGAAGTCGACCGAGCTTTTGATCAGGAAGTTACCATTCCAGCGTTTGGTTCGTGAGATAGCCCAGGATTTCAAGACGGACTTGAGGTTTCAGAGCTCCGCAGTGTTGGCATTGCAGGAGGCTTCTGAGGCGTATTTGGTTGGGCTGTTCGAGGACACCAACTTGTGCGCAATCCATGCGAAGCGGGTGACGATTATGCCCAAGGATATTCAGCTGGCCCGCCGTATCAGAGGGGAGCGGGCGTAAACTCTGCTATCATTACAGGGGTGTTTAATAACACCACCCACTTCTGAAATTTACCTTGCACTCTTGAATATGCTGTGTGCTTCGATAGTTTGACTTTTTCTGTATTTCTAACCTCGTAGTACATCGTCTTCGTAAAGACAGGTGGTACCATGCTTGATTGAGTGTGCGTACGTGACTCTTGTGGATGGCCTGTGAAGGGGGTTCATCTGTAGCTGTACTTTGCTTCAAGTATGTTACATCCTCTGTGGACAGTGAATTATTCTTTAAAAACTTGCTTCAAGAATACGTATTCTCACAGTCCATTCCAACCCCCATAATGACCATACGCTCGTCACGAGATGTTTTCTGAGATAGCACGAAGAATGGATCTCGAATGTGAACGTGGTGATCGGTTGGAGTTTGTTCGTCCTATGCTACTCCAACCTTGGGAGACTTGGAAGGCATCTCTGCTACCTGGACATCATGCTCTTCTAGTTCTTTACCAAAGCGACCTTACCTGTGATAATCTGAAGTTCACCATGCGAGAAGAGAAGAAAAGAGACATTCGATAATTTTAACTTGGGTGATGACCAAGTTAAAAATGTTAGAATCTCTTTGGCCAAAGTCCCGCGGGATCGGTTGAGACGGTACAGGTGCTAGGAAGTTGTACGAGGCACAACTTTTTGGGAGGTTCTGATCACAACTAAGGCCATTCTTGAAGGGGACGAGCCTGAAAGGTTTATAGCTTAGCAGATGAGAAGCACTGCCCCGTGGGCGCTGCATATGTCGGGTTGGGAACTGCCTCATCTATTGTAAGTTAGAAATAAATTAGAGAACCGTTTATCTACAAATGTTACAAAAATTATAATGTGTTGTATTGCAATCAAAACTCAATTTCTTGTAGCAAATTTATGACCTAAATATATTAGCTTTTTTTATCATAGCTATTTTGCACGTACACCTTTGTATTCTTTTAAAACCAGTCAAGCTGTCTTATTTTTAATACATTACATAGTAGTGGCATTGCTTGCTAAGACAGCATCACATACCTTGGTTGAAATACTAAAAGAATCTTTTAGTATTTCTTGTAATAAAATAATCATTGTTGATAATCAAACCATATTGATATAATATTTTTCATATTCAAATTATATCTTATTATTAAGGTTAATACAAACTAGCAATAATAAAAATAAATAATTTAAAAAAATATAATACTACATTGTGTATCTATGCCAATCAATTAGGAACTTGATTGTACTTTGATTTAAAGAAACTTGTTCTTGCTAGGTCATACAAAAATGATATTATTTTATCTTTTAGTGTTATGATTACATAAATTGTGTTAATAAGATAGCATTTGGAACAACACATACATAAAACAAACTTTTATTTTATTGCACTTGGATATGCTAAAAAATTCCTCTCCAAAAGTCAACTATAATTAATATCAATTTTTACTTATCAATGATAAGTTTTTTTTTATTTTTTTTATTTTTTATTTTTTTTATTTTTATATGCATTATTTACATAGCTTTTAGGACCTTTATTGATTCTAATACCAATAGTATATTATAACAAAAATTTATAATACTTCTTTGTTTTTAAATATAAAGTATGCAATGAACATATTGAATATTGTTCATCTAATTTATAATCATAAAATGCAAAAATAAAATAAAATGCACCACATGTATTACAATGCCTATTAATATTTATAAAATAATTAGTCAACTAGAAATATTTTACATGCCACAACACTTAGGGCTAACGTGAGCTTTTACATCTTTATTGTAAAGTTTACAATACTAAATATTAGCATTAGTTTATTGAACTTAACAAAGATTTTTATTTGAAACATAATTTTTACTTTGATACAACTTAGTACAACTACTAAAAAACAATCTCTAACATCTATCTTTTATATCATTAATAAAATATTACATCAATTGTTTTTTACTAGTAGGTATTACAATGCACTATTCTAAAAAAGTCAAAATATTTTTAATCTACTATGTAATAATCAACTCATTTATCTTTTTTTGGAATATTTATTTCTAAATATTTTTTCACTTTAGTACTTACAAGTGTTCAAAAAAATTATGTATAAAATTTCTAACAGCTTATATTGCTTTAAAACTTTCATATTAAAAAATTTAGAAACTATATTTTATATTAATGTACAATGACTTCTACAATGGATGCAACAACTCATAATTAGCCTAAATAATTTCAAATACCATATTATAGAATATTTTATAAAATTTTAATAAAAAGATAAGTATACTTTTTTTACAATAAATATTAAAGGTTTTAATTTATTTAGAAAGAATAATTACATACACAAGTACCAAAGCAACAATTCTTTCAATTTGTTTGAGTGTAAATAACTAAATTTTGAGAGGTTTGTCTTGAAATGGCTTTTATACAATCTAATTTTTAACCTTTATTTTTTTAAATTGAAGTAATTTGTCATACATTTAAAGATTAAAAATCTACAAATGTAAGTTCTATATTTTAAAATTAATTAATTATAATATATTATTAAAATAAGATAGATATTATTTTAAATATGATTTGGAAAAAAATAAAATTGTGTGTTTTAATAAATTTCTAGCTAACAAATATTATACAATTAGAATAGGCCTTACAATTAAGCAATTTAATTATTTTGTTTGTATATGCAATTTTTTTTAAAAAGTTTGGTCTTTTAAGTCATATATTATGTCTTGAACAAAGTTTCTATAACCACCATATATTATAATTTTGGATAAAAACATATGCCAAGCCTAAGTTAGTCTTCACACTTTTTAAACACAAATTACTATGAAGATCCTATCATAAAATATAATTACTGTAGACACATTTAGATCTTTTTAATATCCACCAATTTTATTTTTTAATATTTAAAAAAACATTGAATATTTCTCTAATGGTTTGAAGCTCAAAGATTATTTTATTTTATTTTATTTTATTTATTTTTTTCAATTAAGTGATCAACATAGCTAAAGTGCTAAGCATTAATACTAAATTTTAAAATTCTTAAACAATCACAAAATATATAAGGTGGAGTAGACACTTTCTTAACCTAATACCTCTACCAACTTATGTTATGTGATTGCTAAAAGCAATAGTTATTTAATACAAGTTTTGTCTATATGCATACTATAGAAATACAGTCATTCCAAAAAAATTATGTTTTTAAATATTAATAAATATTTGATTATATGTTAGCATTTAACTAATTTGAATATATGTGATAATTTTTTTTAATAAAAAATAGCTTTCAAAAATAAATAATTATTATGAATAATAAAGTTTATTTTTAATAATAAATATATATACACAATATTATGTTAATTTTAAAATTTTTAAAGTTAACAAACTATTTTCTAAATAAACTATATATTTTTACATATAAAAGTACATTATTTGATTTTTTATGTTAGGAATTTGAATATATGCTTAAATTATTATTTTTTAATATATATATATATATATATATATATATATATATATGTTCCAAAGATAATTTGATTTTATGCATGGTATTGTTTAAATCATTTTTTCCTAAGAGCAAAGAATGAAAAGATACTTTTTCATATTAAATGCATAAAATATATTTTTTAAAGAATATTTTTTTCTATATCAAAGTGAATTTAATTATAAATAGTTGATATGTATATATATATATATATATATATATTTAGAGGTATGTAGTGCATTTAACTTGAGACAAATATATATATTCCAAGGAAAATCTATGCATTATTTATTTTATAAATACATAAAATTTTCCATATTATATTATTTTGAATAAAAAAAGATATTAACATTCTTATTCTCTGTAAAAGATTTTTATGGTTTAATTGACGTTCAAAAAAATAAATTGTATATTTTATAATTATTTATTTATTTATATTTTTTCTCTTAAATTATAGATATTAAATTTTCTTATATTGCATTATATTTTGTATTTTATGGAATATTTTTTTAAAAATAATATATATATATATATATATATGCAAATGTATATACTACTATCTTCATCAATCTATCAAATTATCAATCTTTAATCTTATAAGACTTGAAACTATATCCCAGCTAAAATTAGATCTTCATTTACAGTCAACTACAAGCCATCATTAAGAAATCTTCAATAATTGTGAAACAAGTCATAATAAACATGTGTATGATCATGGATCTGAGTTTGATGGAATTGGATGGTTGAAACTTAATGCGAAGCTTAAATGAGACTGGCTCAAACCAACTAAACTGCAAGTCTCTCCACCGTTCTGGAAGAACAATTGTCAAGTAAAACTATAAAACTAAGAGACTAAAAACCCATGAAATTGTACATACCACAGCTCCCTGTAAAGAGAGTCTGCTCACTACAAACTTTATCTGTCTTTCATCTCGTAAAACTCGTGGAATAATTTTTAAAACAATGGGATGGCCTCAGAAGAGGCCTCAAGCACACCACCAGGCATAAATGAACAACTTATCATGCAGGCTACATCGATGCGAAGGTGAAAATCAGATTTTCACTCTGAATTTAAAACGTAGGCTTGTTTGGAATCAACGATAGAGCGAAAAGTGACTTATTCGAACAGTATATATAATAATGTTGTGCAAGAACACCCCAAGCAAAACATGGATACGACTATGAAAAAGTGTTTAACCGCAGAAGCAATGCATAGCACAATGAAATATAGGATGTTGACAGTCAAGGAAAAGTCTCAAACGACGTAGCCAAATTGCATAGAGAGGAGACATCTAAAGCTCTGATCATCAATCGTACAGACCCGTTGCGGGTTCTAACTGTTGAAAAAAATTGTGAATAGGAGTGTCACTTTGGAACTGTGTTGCTTCACAACAGTACTCATATATCATGAAAGTGTAGCCATATTATGTGGAAGACAAACTAAGGCTCATCTTTCAAGAGCCAGACGCTTGTGAAGCATATCAGCCCATCCTTTCTATGAATAACCTTCTTGAAAGTAGGCTAAGTATTATTAAAAGTTTTAAAAAAATTACGGGCAGTATGTTAGATTTACTTGCTCTTCCAATGCCTCATTCCTACCAAACATTAGCACTTGTATACGCAGTCCGATTTCAATCAAAATCAGGTAGATCGAAAACTCCTCACCAACTGTGTTTGAAAATCTCATCCTCCTCGCCACGCTTCGCCCTCACCCTTTACGAACAACCTCTTCGAGTAATTGTAAAAAATCACTCTGAATTCAAAGAGTAAACAAGTTGGACACAGGGGGATAATAAGATGTTGATCATGTCACTTGGAGGAGCAGCGCAGAGAACCACTACGTCTGTCTCGCCATCGCCATCAGTGATACACATGGCCTGCAGAAACAATTACTGCATCAACTTCCCAGAAAATCCGGACCTTCACCACAACAACTTAGGCAAGTTCTTCTTCTGCCTTTTCGAGTAGTCTTGATGCCTCTTGGCTTTCGTCGCTGATTTCATCTTCAATTCCCGCTTGGGACTCTCGGACAGCGGGACATGAGTATGAGTCACAGTGTTCGAAAACACTCGCTGCAGACGAGTGCAAGAGGACCGAGAACGAGCACCCGAGCACATTTCCCATTCCGAGTCTAAACAATCGGTGGTGCACGCCTTCAAATAAAACGACGCATATTTCCTGATAATGCGACTCGTCATTAGTGCCATCTTTTCCTTACTGGCCTGATCCCTAGAACTTTAAAAACTCGTCACAAATAATTTGCGACCCACCAGCCGCTATTACTCTCAACACCCAGACCTCGACGAAACCAAAATACCAGTCAAAGCTAAATCTCTCGTACCTGCAACTTATAACTCTCAACCATACTAATGGATCCCAATAGTCCAAAACCACTCCTCCGCAGTTAATGATTAGAGCCTCACGCGAGGTCGAATCGACAGACGACGAAGATCTTTCTT